CCCCGTTGATGTATGACTCAAGGAATATTCTGTTTAATGATTCACAATAGTATACTAATATAATTGTTGAGGTGATAAAAACATGTTTGCACCCAAATTACAATGTGTGATATGTCTTTACCAAGCATTTAGCTATACTTAACTAACCACCCTTTACACAAACTTTGTTACAGTAGCTAAAAGTCCAGTGCCAATAAAGATACAAAAAAATAGTAAATGTTTATAAACATTTACAAATGAATGAATAGTCTCCACTTTAGATTGGGTACTGCAAAAACATTAACAAATAATTAATACATGATTTAAGTTGTGCAAATAATAGAAGTCTACACAACAAACAAAGACCAAATATATGACCTTTACAGACTGTGATTATGTTAATGAATGTATTAGCATGAATAATTTGTGAAGTGCTTAAAATGACTATTTAAGCTATAGTTTCACAACATTTGTAAATGTAAAAATGAGCATTAGCTAATATGTGAGCTGAAGTTTAATGACATGTGTAAGCATGTTAATTTACGTTAAATAATGATTTGTTAATCATTTGGTAATGTTTAATAAAATCATTAGTTAACATTAACAAGCACATTGTCTCATATTTCTAGATATGTGAATATATATGAAGTAATGATTAGTTAAAAATTATATAATGTTTGTTAATGATTTATTAATGAAAGTTATTATAAAGTGTTACCGAATCTCTGTATGCTGGTGTAGCTACTTCTCTCTCTCTCTCTCATGCCTAAAGACTTGTATGTATTATAATCATATCTTTAGAAATGTTCTTAAGCAGCTCTTGAGAAGAATAGTCTTTGTGTCTCAGCAGAAATAAATCTGGTTTATTCTTAAAAAGGCAGAAGTGAAGATTGGGTATAAAATATTGTGTGTTTGATCCCAAACAGACAAAGATCAAAATCATGAGATGAGCTGATGATGTTTTTATAGAGATAAATGTAAATGAGTGTACTGTATTATAGCGCCATCTAGAGACAAGCAGGAGTCTGTAAACTCGTCTGAATCTGCTTCACTGTTTCAGATGTTCAGACACTTTTAGATCAGAATAAGACGCTCTCAACAAACACAACAAGAGTTGCTTTGCTGTTTGGACCCTTTAATGTTCACATAAAATAAATACACTCTTAAAAACGGTTCTTTAAAGGTTCTTTACATGTAGTAACAGTTCTATTTTGAGCCATATTGTCCTGAAGAACTTCATTCTGAAATGGTTATTAGTGTTTAGGATTCTTTATTCCTGCCTTTTTGTTTTTCAAATCTGTAACTGTCAAAGCCTCCTTATTGATTTTTCTAGAGCTTTTAGTCACTCAATAACAGACTGTCAGCACACTCTCAACAGGTACATTTCTTTCTCAAAATGATTATTGAGAAATATTATTGAGATTAATAATTATGCATATGCAAACATAATTTAAGTAAAACAAATGTGTTTATGTCTGAGAACCTCTTATACCCCAACCACCTATTACACCTTATACACTTATTGTCCTATATAAGCAGGGCCAGTTCTAGACATTTGGAGGCACAATAAAAGCACTTTAAACAAATATGATTTCTAACCTTTTTATTTACACATTTCATTTAAAATGTTGTATATGTTCTTTTATACTGTACCAGTCAAAAGTTTGGACACATTAATATGTTAATGTTTTTGAAATAAGTCTCTTATGCCTATTAAGCCTGCACTTGTTTGATCAAAAATACAGAAAAAAACACAGTAATATTGTGAAATAATATTATAAATTAAAATAATGGTTTCAATTTTTACTATACAGTAAAATATAATATTTTTCTGTGATACAGTATTCAGTGCCACATGATCCTTCATAAATCATTCTAATATACTGATTTATTATCAATGTTAGAAACAGTTGTACTGCTTAATATTTATTTTATAACCTGTGATACTTTTTTCAGGATTTTTTGATGATTATAAAGTTGGGGGGAAAATGATTTTGATTAAAAAAAATAAATAAATAAAAATAAATAAAAAATAAATAAATATATATTTTTTTCTTTCTTTCTTTCTTTCTTTTTGTCTTAATGAGCAAGAGACTCCTTTCAAAAACATTAAAAATAGCAATGTGTCCAAACTTTTGGTAATGTATGTAAACATTAACCAAACTTTATCTAAAGTAATCTTTATTTTTTTTGATGATGTTATTATAGCCATGTGATATTTTTAACATTAATATAATAATATCATATTATTATGTATTGCATTGTTACCTTAAATGTGCACTATATACACAAATCAAGTGGAAGTGAATGAGACGATCACTACTAAGCAGAACATAAATTAATTTCTAGTTATTTGAAACTGAAATTAAGTGTTATGTTAGAGCAGTAATGTAACTGTTACGGACCGACAGAGACGAGAGACGTGCGGATCCATCTGTATGCTTATATTTCAAGACGTGGTCATAACAGACATGGGTCAAACAGTGGCAAACAAGTACATTTCAGGCAAGACAAAGAGTATTCCAGGGACAGACAAGGTCAATGATCGGCAAACATAATCCAGTGAGCAAGGCAAGGGGGTATCCAAATAAACAAGCAATAGTTCAGACGAGGAGCAAACAGTATCCAAACAAGGGCGAGACGAGTGGGGTAATCCATGGCAGGCAATAGAGTCCAGGGCAGGCAGAGATCAGACAAGACGAGGAAAACAGGCAATAATCAAGACACGGGTAATCCAGGCAAAGAACAAGACTAAACTATGAAAACAAGGAATGGCTCCGTAATGTGCTATCGGCTAAGGTGCGATAAATGCAAACAATAATCGGCCCTGAACAGTGGTTAGTGCCTTGTATTTAAAGTGTGTGTGATTGGTTGCAGGTGCGTGCGTAATCAGTGCAATGAAATATGGGAAATGTAGTCTAGGGTGATGCGTGACAGTCTGTGTGGTGTGAGTGTCTATATAACGGGAGGGCGATCTCTGGTGGCAAGCGAACGGAAGTCCATAGACGGGATTCGTGACAGAGCCCCCCCACAAGGAGTCTTCCAGACGCTCCTAACATAATATAATCCAGGAGGGCGGTGGAGCGGAGGTGGAACAGGGGGAGGGACGGAGGCAGGGCCGTGCACAGGGGG